ACATTACAGGGGGGCAGGTTTCTGCTGGGTGGGCCGGAACTCAATTGAGTATTTTCAATGCTTTTCAATACTTTTTGTGGATTGGTGGGAGCATTAGCTTCCCCCCCCCCCCGTGGCTACGCCCATGCTGGCAAAGGACCCTTGCTGATGCACATGGGATCTGTGGGGGTGAATTCTCCCTTCCTCCTGTCCCATCAGCATCTCAAGAGAGAACTGCTGCTTTGCTCTTAGATTTCATTGTGTGTGACTTAAGGCACGTGGTGGTGGTGGGGGTTCCATAGAGATCCAGCTTGGCCCCTCTCCAAGGCAACCATGGGATGTCCTTCTCCAGTCCACAAGCAGCATGCAGGGAATCTCTGCTTGCTCACCTGTGGAGCAGATAAATTCTACTGAGGATCCTAGAAATTAGGGTAGATTTAGAAATGTGGTCCAAGTCCACCAGTTACAGTAACCACATCCCCACTATGTAGCGTCACTGTAGCTAGGCTTGGTCTAAAGGGTAAAGGGACCCCTGACCGTTAGGTCCAGTCGCAAACGACTCTGGGGTTGTGGCGCTCATCTTGCTTTATTGGCCAAGGGAGCTGAGGTTTGTCCACAGACAGCTTCCAGGTCATGTGGCCAGCATGACTAAGCCGCTTCTGGTGAACCAGAGAATCACACGGAAACACTGTTTACCTTCCCACCAGAGCGGTGCCTATTTATCTACTTGCCCTTTGATGTGCTTTCGAACTGCTAGGTGGGCAGGAGCTGGGACCGAGCAACGGGAGCTCACCCCGTCGCGGGGATTTGAACCGCCGACCTTCTGATCGGCAAGCCCTAGGCTCTGTGGTTTAGACCACAGCAGCAGAATAAAGTGACAGACTCCTGAGACAGGCAGATGGCAGACATGATAATTGCCTGCAGGCAGGAGATGACCTCTCTGGAGATTTCCAATCTATATGTTTTTGGGTTTGTTTTTTTAAAGGATTCTTTAAGTAGAAAAGTATATCAGAAAGAAAAAAACTATTTTGGCTGTGTCCTCTGGTGTCAAATTTCAGCAGTGTCCTGTGCACTGCCCTGCCTCTCGCACTCCACTGTAAATCAAAGTTGTGCCACGGAGGCACACACACCCCGCAACTGAATCAATTGTGCTCCCTTAAATCTGCCTCTATCCTAGTTTTACTGCTTTTTTTATGAGGAAATTTTATTTTAAAAAATAAAAATTCCAGTGACATTCTCCACCTGCATCCAGAAATGGTAACTTCCTTCTTTCACTGTTGAAATTTACTACTTCGAGATAAACTAACAGGAAGGAGTCGAAATCTGCGGGACCAGAAATTCACAGAAGACCGGTGTAAATTTACAGACTACCTGAAAAGTAATTGTGATGGTCAGACTACGTTTGTAGGTTTGCAAGACGTTTTGTGAGGTGAATTATTGGAACTATTGCAAAAATGGATAAAGGGGAGGATGGTTAGTTAAGATAATTAAAGGCAATATGAATTTAAGAAATGCATAAGAAGTGGTTAAAACGGTGGGTCATCAGAGGTGCTGATGGAAGTCCTAAAAAAGATTGTATAAGTGGTGAAGCTTTGTGGTATGTATTATAATTTATATGTTAAAATTAATAAAAATTATTATGTATAAAAAAGAAATTTACCACTTCATTCTCTCCCTCTCTCTGAGAGATGGGCAAAGAAGCACACTCTTTACCTGCTCAGGAGAACTTCCACCCATTGTTTTCCATATACAGTACTGTATTGCAAAGTTAAACCCTGGCAGCAAAGCTGATCTCTCCTGGGGAAATGGGCATGGAATAATCCCTGGTTCCCTATGCGCTCGCTCGCGCGCTCTCTCTCGCTCTCTCTCTCTCTCTCTCACACACACACACACACACACACACACACACACGCCCCCGCCCCTCTTGCTCCGCGAGGACAAAGGCAGAGTCGGCGAGCTTGCGCGCAAAGTCCCACGCCCCTCCCCTCTCTTCTTTGCCGAGGGGCGTCCTTCGCCTCTATGTGGGAGGAGTAGGGGGGCGGCAGAGGCAGCAGGTGCTGGGCGGGACAGGGAGAGCTGCCCCTTCGGCAGAAGCCGGCCGGCTGCCCCCTCCCCGCCCTGCCCAACGGAGGCTGCCGCCGCCGGAGCGCAGCTGGGGCGCATAGCCATGGAGAGCCGCACCTGGCGCGCCGCGCAGCCCCGACCTGCCGCCTCCTGCCTCGCCAGCGCAGCCCGCCGCCCCTCTCGACGAGGCACCTTTTAGCCGCTGGGCGTCCCTCTCCCGCAGCAGCCAAGTGAAGGAGGGCTCCGCTCATTCCTGCTATGCCTGCGCTTTAGGCTGCCGCTCCGGGGCATGCGGCTCTCGGCCACCCTGGCAGCGCGCTCCGCTTCCCTCTCCAAAACAGGAGCCAGGCGCCCGGCGTCCGGGCTGCTCCGTCGCTAGGGGTGGTTTGCGGAGCTCCGCTTGGCGGGAGAGGATGCCGTCCGGCAGCCTGGCGGGGCTGTGGCTTTGGCTGCTTTTCCAAGCGCAGCTCCAGGTAGGTTCTCCCAGAACAGCTGTGCGAAAGCCTCCGCTCTCTTTCTCTCTTGCAAACTGCAGTAAAGCCAGTATTCGGTGATCTCCGCAGCAGGACTATCCCAAATAATGCTGGTTGCATTAAGAAGGACTTTGCAATACAGAGAATCCACAAATCAATTCTGCTCTTTCTAACCTTTCCCCATTGGCCTATATTTCTTAAATCTTTGTATATATCCATCCAGAAGGGTGGGGTATAAATAATAGCATTATTGTTATTGTTAATATTATTGCCACCCCTCCCTTTTCCAGGGTGCACCTGTGACATGTGCAGGTCAAGCAGCCGCTGGGAGCCCAGATCTCCTTTCCTCTTTGCACTCTGAGTTGTTGGAGTTCACAGACAACAGTGGTAAGTGAGCAGAGTAGATCCTATATTGTATTAACCCCTGTGATTGGTTATATTAGCCTGTAAGGGAGTTGGCTGGTGTCCAATGGAAATGATCTCTTTGGCTTCCTTTATAATTCTCTGCATATGCTCAGGAGCTCTTCTGACATGGGGCTTGTAAAGCCCGATGCCTGTTTACTCAGAAGTCAATGAGTTTCCATGTATTCAGGGAGACTTGCTTCTGAATAAGGGTGCATAGAATTGCAGTCACATGGTGAAATCCTGTGCATGCCTCCCGTGAAGTAAGCTCCATTGAGTTCAATGGGACCTTTGTCTAGGTAGGTGTGCATAGGGTTTTATTTGGAGTGGTTGACTGAGGTTCTGCCCATATTAATAGGATTGATAACTCATGCACCTGGGATCACAAAGTGTTTTGAAATAGGTGTTGCTAATGTTTAGATTCTGTGGCTGTTCTAGGCTACATGTCCAATGCAGGTCTACTGAGAAATAAGCCCCACTGAGCCCAATCGGGCTTTCTCCCAATTACATCTTAATTCCAAAAACATACGCTTACGACTGGGCTGTAAACAAAACCTGCTGCTTTCTATAAACGAATAGTGAAAACTCTTTGATTAATATGTTGATATCTGGAATAGCAGAGATTGTGAAATATGGGCTATACGTGATGCATTGCCTTTGATTGGCCTTAATGGATTTCCACAGGCACATTAATGTATATGCTATTTTAGCGTGGCTTTCTTAAATTAAACGGATATATTTGTAACTGGCTTTCTTCCCGTCTGGAGTGGCTGCTGCCCTGCAACATAAGACCTAAGAATAATAACTTAATGGGTGAGGAAATCGCATCCACACACATTCAAGCTAATGAGTAACTGTTGCCCTCAGTGAAGTCTTACTACATGGTGATAGGAGCCCAGAAGGAAAGGTCTGCCCAATTGCTGAGTTGTTCCACTCAGAATTGAGCCTCATTAACAATCCAAATATTGTGGGGTGCAGACTGTGCACCCTTTCCCCATGATTGTGACCAGAGGAAGTTCAGCCTTTTTTTTTATATAGGCTTACAAAACTTCCAGATGCAAAATACCCTACTGGAACTACCCTGTTCTGTAATAGTGTCAGAAAGCAACATGATGAATAAAGCATAATTGTTTTTAACTACTCACCTGGTTGCCATAGGTGATTAGGAAGGTCACCCAGGTGAGTGAGCAGGCTATCTGAAGATGGGTGGAGTGAATCATAGAATCCTAGAGTTGGAAGAGACCACAAGGGCCATCGAGTCCAACCCCCTGCCAAGCAGGAAACACCATCAGAGCACTCCTGACATATGGTTGTCAAGCCTCTGCTTAAAGACCTCCAAAGAAGGAGACTCCACCACACTCCTTGGCAGCAAATTCCACTGTCAAACAGCTCTTACTGTCAGGAAGTTCTTCCTAATGTTTAGGTGGAATCTTCTTTCTTGTAGTTTGGATCCATTGCTCCGTGTCCGCTTCTCTGGAGCAGCAGAAAACAACCTTTCTCCCTCCTCTATATGACATCCTTTTATATATTTGAACATGGCTATCATATCACCCCTTAACCTCCTCTTCTCCAGGCTAAACATGCCCAGCTCCCTTGGCCGTTCCTCATAAGGCATCGTTTCCAGGCCTTTGACCATTTGCCCTTCCTCTGACAAGTCACCTATGTTTCTGGGCAGGGGGTGGAGGCACACGTCATAGAAACCCAGCAAGGTCACAACAGAGATGTGCAGTGCTTGACCCCTCCCCCTTCAGCATCTCAGTTTGTTAACTATGCTGGGAGGCTTCCTCCCCCGCCCCCGCCCCCATGCAGGTTCCCAGGGAAGGCACAGATTGCCTCTACCATTCTCTGGCAGCCTCGTGGATTTCCATGCTGGATGATGCTCACGAAGCAAAGGTTGTTCCCTCCCATCCAGCAGAGACACCAAAAAGGACCAGCAGCAGATGGAAAGAGCTGCCAGACTGGTGTCTTTCTGTTGCTGGACTTAGAGCAAATGGGCCTCATGCCTGCCTAACATGGAATCATAGAATTGAAAGGGACCCTGAGGGTCATCTAGTCCAACCCCCTGCAATGCATGAATCTTTTTGCCCAACGTGGGGCTTGAACCCATTGCCCTGAGATTTAGAGTCATATGCTCTACCAACTGAGTTCTCTGGATCAGGGTGTTAATCAGGTACTTGGGCTTATTCACACACACCATGCTTCTGTTGATATTCATACAATGACAGTACAGCCCTTTGTCTATGTAAGTCCCACTGAATTGAATGGGACTTATCCCCAGGTAACCATGCATAAATATACAGTGGACGCTCGGGCTGCGAACATGATCCTTGCAGGATGCACATTCACAACCCGCAGCATTTGCAGCCCACAGCGGCACATCTGCGCATCTGCGATTTGGCGCTTCTGAACATGCACAAAGCGCGATTTAGCGCTTTTGCGCATGTGCAACCGCCGAAACCTGGAAGTAACCTGTTCCAGTACTTCTGGGTTTCGGCGGGTCCATAACCCGAAAAAACGCAACCTGAAGCAATTGTAACCTGAGGTGTGACTGTAATTGGTTGGCAGCAAAGGGGCTCCATCACCAGCCTACTAAGCTTCTAGGCTGGATGAATGAGGAGCAAACCCTCCAGCCCACTGCCACCACCAAACACTCCGAGCAAGCAAGTCTTTTTTGAAAAATGCTGCAGGGCTGTGACTTTTGAGAGCCAATTTACAAGTCTGTATTAAAAGAAGTTGTGCTCGTGGAGATAAGAAGGAAGACACCAGGGGGTGCTGAATAGTGAACATTAATAGCCTGAAACATTCAGTGAAGGTCTCCCTGGAATTCAAGTGGAACTTTCTCGTTAAGTTTATCAGGACTTTTATTTGAGATGCTCTCAAGATAGCATTTAAACAGCTTTGGGGAAACTGCTATCCTTTGTAGGTTGGAACTAGATGGATTAAACACGTGGCTTCTGGCAAAGATGGAGCCATTGTGTACATAATTCTCTCCTTCCCCTCTGTTGCATCTAGTAAGGATTATCTGGGCCGTAAACAAAACAAGATTCCTCACAACCTCACTGCTATTAGAATAAGTTATGTTTCTCATCATCTACCCTTGAAATGCAGAGTAAATGCTAGGTCTGTAATCGCTAGGAAAATGAATCTGCTTTAAAAAAATTGTGATAATGGATTAATGGATTCTTTTATGCAGGAATGCAAAAAGGCTATGTCCACAAAACTCCCATTTACTGCAGGGGTGGGACACTGGATCCAGCCCACAACCCCCTGGGCCAGTTTTGGTAGGTCCACCCGTCAATCACTTGATGTCACAGTGAAATCAAACCACTGCCGGCAAAAGATGAGCAGCTGATTGTAAAGCACTCTGCATTCCCAATGAGCAGCTCTCTAGTGGAACCTAACCCAGCAGCACTGTCAGGGCAGTCAGCAAGCCTCCTTGTTAAGAAACTGCCCTTTGGAGCGACATCCTTACCTGCCCCTAGCATGTGACACGTGTGATGTCAGGTGTGGAGGCAGCTGGTCATGGTTTGGGAGGGGGGTGGCCTTAAGGGCCAAATTTGGACTCATGAAGGATATAATGAAACCCATTGATCCCATGATTTGAGGTCTCTCTGGCCCCCTCTGCACTCTACATTTAAATCAGCAACATACCAACAGTCAAGTCTCACCTCAGAGAATCCTAACCGTAGTTTGTGGTGGGTGCTGAGACTTCGTAAAGGTAAAGAGACCCCTGACCATTAGGTCCAGTCGCGGACGACTCTGGAGTTGCGGCGCTCATCTTGCTTTATTGGCCGAGGGAGCCGGCGTACAGCTTCCGGGTCATGTGGCCAGCATGACTAAGCCGCTTCTGGCGAACCAGAGCAGCGCACGAAAACGCCATTTACCTTCCTGCCAGAGTGGTACCTATTTAACTACTTGACTTCATGCTTTCAAACTGCTAGGTTGGCAGGAGCAGGGACCGGACAACGGGAGCTCACCCCGTCGCAGGGATTCGAACCGCCGACCTTCCGATCGGCAAGCCCTAGGCTCAGTGATTAGGCCACAGCGCCACCCGCGTCCCTTCTGAGAGTTCTTAGGAGACCCCTATTTCCTTTCATAGGGCTACCCAGAGCAATTTAACAATCAAGCCCTCCTCCCAGGGGACATTTTCAGTAGCCAGGTTGCAACAGGAAATCTGTGCGTACAAATGCATGCAAACACTTGGATTTGCATCTGCCGCCATCCATGCTGCTGAAAGTTCTGACTCTATGCCTTGACTGCTTACAGAATATGTTATTGTGACAGCATATGAAGTAGACCAAAAGGGGGCTTATGTAAGTCATGGAGTTGCACACCATGAAAGGAGGAAGAGAGAAGCATCTGAGCGAGAAACTGACTCGCTGCACCTCCATTTCCATGGATTTGGCCATGACTTCCAGCTTGACCTGAAGACTTCAGATTTTCTCGTGGCACCTGGATTTACAATACAGACCCTGGGCAAGGGGAGAACCAAGTCAATACACACATACCCAGCAGAAGACTTTTGCTTTTATCAAGGTGTCTTGCGATTGCACAAAAACTCATCTGTAGCACTTTCAACATGCGGAGGCTTGGTAAGTAAACATGGAACAACAAGTTGAGGGGGGAAATTAAATGCAAAATGTTGTAGCTATTGTTACAATGAAATTCAGGATGGATGTGCAGGTAAAACATCTGTGGAAGCTTCAAAAGGGGGAGACTTTGTGTTGTTTTTTAAAATACGTTTTTATGTATGAAACGTTTCACAAGAAGACTGTACATAAATTTTACTGCCACATGTACTGCATAGGTATGTGAGAAATATATATACATAAAACAAGCATATCAGCATATATATATATATATAGTGCATAATTTTGCGGAAGCTATAATTCCACCCACCCACCTCTGTTCATGGGGAGCGTTTATTGTAAGAATGTCAGAGTGCAGCTCCCAGTGGACAATATGTAGTGCCTTATCACAAACCTGGATTTACATAATGCCAGGGTTATGAAGGGGAGCAAAAGTGAAGGCAGGTTTTAAAATGGCAGTGGCCACAGAACTGGAGCAAGAAGGGAGAACCACTGAGAGGGTGAAAATTGGGATTTTAAACAGTAGATTTTGAGTAGAGCGAGCAGGGGGTGACACTGAGGCGGGGATGTGGCAATTTAAAACAAGGTCTGAGAACAGTGAAAAGGGAATTTGGAAAACTTGTTAGTTTCTGTGTTGCACCTACCTCTGCCATTTCTTTTCGTTAAAACAGGTGCTTAAGAAAACACAGCTCCCCAGTAGCCTTCCATACCTGCTTCACTCAAACCTCTGCTGTTGTTTAAAACTGCCATTTTCCTCTCAGTTTCTTTCCATCCCTGCTTCACTCATTCTGCCATTGTGAGCTGTATTCAGCCTGGTGTGTCACAAGTTGTGCAAACGTGGTACAGTGGTGCCTCGCAAGACGAAATTAATTCGTTCTGCGAGTTTTTCCGTCTTGCGAATTTTTCGTCTTGCGAAGCACGGTTTCCCAAAGTCTTCAAAATCACCAAAGTCTTCAAAAACCTCAAAAAAGGATACCACACCGCGTGCTATGAGTTGCTCCTCGAAGTCACCCTGGGTATTAACGGTTTTAAGAACAAGGACACAAACTTGCAAGACGTTTTCGTTTTCATCTTGGCAAGCCCATAGAAATTGCTTGAAGCAACTCAAAAAACGAAAAAATCTTTCGTCTTGCGAGGCATTCGTCTTGCGAGGCATTCGTCTTGCGAGGTACCACTGTATACATGTACATCGAAACAGCTAATCCAGGAAGCCATTATTGGTTGTGGCTCCCTTTGTCATCAGGCAGTTTTAAACACAAGCTTGCTGCTCCTCCATGTTGGAAGTGCCCCTTAGAGTAGAATATTGGCTAAGGGTGGAACAACCCCCTCCTCCCATACACTGTTCTGGGGGTTCTCCAAATGTAGGGGGCGCATGGGGGAAAGCTCCATTACTCAAGCAAAAGTCCTTGCATATGCCTTGTTGGGTGAATCCCACCCGACGGGGGATGGAGATCTGTACATAAACACTGAAAGTTCAGTGAAGCTGGCATTCATTTTCTGCAGAGATGATTTCACTGAATATATTTTGCTGCTGAATAATTTGATGTTCATCAAGAGTGCCAGGGATGATGTTATCTTCTCTTGTTTGACCTAAAGGCGCATCTCCACCCAAAGGCGGTTTCTGTAACTTCATAAATCTGTTTTTCCACTCAGAGATGTTCAGGTTTTAGCTAAAGACTTACTGAAGTGCTCTATCACATGTTCACATGAATACACATGTGGAGAATTGCTGTTGGTCAGAATTCTAAGTCAGGTGGACTGTTTACCTGACTCTGTATAAAGCAGTTCCTTATGGTTCATTCACACATGCAAATCATCAAAACGTGTGACAGTGTCATGTGGGAATCAGCCCTTGGTCCTATCTTAAAGAAGATAATTCATTTTGCAAAGCTTACATTAAAGCCTGCTGACATCATGTTGGGATGTGCAGTCATGGAGGTAACCATCAAATAATTTGGTTGGGATGACTAAAGTATCTCCACATACTCATGGACAAGGTTTGTTTGTCAGCCACTGCTTTCCAGTCACTGGGGGCTGCAAAACAGTCAGCTGAAAGCTACTCTTGCTTGAGTTGAGTGCATAAGACTGAATTACTAAGAGGGATTTAGGGATGCACAAGCCTCCCTTCGTTTACTTTGAAGGAGCTTCCTCAAAGGGATCCTTGGTGAACCTCTAACCGAGCAAATGCAAAACCCTTCCAGGTGACACTTGGCCTGCCCCTGTGCTTGACAAGTTAAAACCCAGGCTGAATTCGTTCCTGTTTGTCCAGGCACTTGGATCATGAACTGCATTGCATTCAGAGTGTGGCCCAGTAGATATTTCTCGCTGCTGTTTTACTATATTTTTATGTTTGATTTAGTGATCTTGTGCTGTTAACTGGCCTATGCTCAGGAATGGAGGAAGGAGAGGATATAAAAAATAAACTAATTAACTAGCTAAATAAATAAATCAGCCATGGTCACTGGAACTCTTGCTTGTTGTCTCTGCCACCTTCCCCCACCCCCCAGCCAAACTATCCTCCCAACTTACCCAGAGTAGGAGAAGGGGGTCCCATTGATGACAGAGG